CCACAACAGGAAGACAAGTGCTGGATTCCAGAAACTCAGAGTGGGCAAAAATGACTTCTTTGTTATAATGACTGTCTTTGCACAGTGGATATAAATCAGAAGAGGGAATTTATTTAATGCAAGAAACAACATACCAGAATACTTGTACTGACATACTGTGAAGAACCTTATGGTCATTGCAATCAGCATGTCAAAATAATAAATGCATCAGCTCTTTGTAAAATTAGTTTCTCACTGTAATAAAATACTGGATATGCAGAAACTTGTTCTTTTTCAACATAATTAGAGAAAAAAAAATCTCCAGAATAGAACAAAAAATGCTTTGCTAATGGGAAAAAATATGGAGAAGAAACAAAGCCTCTCAAACAATCTTTACATTCTGGGACTACTTAGTGCCGCAAACCACTGCATTTCTGGTTTGCAAATCTGTTCACCTTTGTTAAATCATTCCCGAAATCAAAGCTGATCTCAAGTTTGGCTGTCAAAGCCTATTTCCATTTTTGTTTCTCACAATGCTGTTGTACCTCTGGCTTATACTACTCAAACTCTGCAGGAGCACTGTTTAACACAATCAGCTTCAGAGTTTCAGAAAAACAATTTAAAAAGGTCCATATAAAATACAAATCTAGCAGGTAAGAGATCAGTATGTGATGCAAAGAAACACAAGCTTATTCACAAGTTCTTTCAAATCAAAAATATATATTTTTGCACTGTACATGGCTTCCATGTCTGTTTCTTCAAAAGGAAATGTTAATGTAAATGTTATGCTTCTAAGCATAAATTTGTGCTCAACTGCACACAAACCAACACACAGTTATAAAGAAAAAAATATTAATCCTCAAGCACTGCACCAAAATGCCTACACACTTAATTAAATTAAGTCAATGTGCTTACTCTCTGTCACTGGAAATGTACTAAAAATGACATGAGTGTTCAGAAAACGTGACTGAGTTAAACCTGTGTTTTCTCGCACCTTTTAAGAAAGGCCATTTTAATGTTTCTGTCCTTCTAAAATGCTTCGTTGCATGTTACCTTTAGGTTTGCCCGCTAGATCTGTGGTGCTTCCAAAGAGTCAGCACCACAACAGGACGCCCAGGTAAGAAAAGGAAGAGGAGAAAGCACCATTTGAGTTTTGAGTGCAAACGCAAGCACAAAGATTTTGTAATCCAGCAGCGTTAACACCTGATGCGCGCTCAGCATTTCATGGTGAATTTATCAGCCTATGTTAGGCTTCCTTCTGAGGTCAGCATTTCTGGCTTGCAAGGGTTGATTTTGATTAATTACTACACTTTCTTTCTTTTTTTTTTTTTTTCAATTCTGGATTGTTTGTTCTTAATGTACTGCTCTTCGTAGTCCAAGTACAACTTGATCTTGCTGTTCCTTCTTTATTGAATAAAGTCTATCCCTCTAAAGTTTTTACTCATTTTTCATGAGTAAATAAGGCACCGGAGCAGGAGTTCAAACCTGTTTTGCAGCAATGACACAGCTCAGATTCTGCTTTGCATGCTCTGCATACATTATCTGCCATTTCATCAAAACCTGCTTAGGCAGGTAATGACCATGTCGGTGATGGCAAGACCTTAGATAAAAATAAGGCACCATAAGCAAACTTGGAAGTCAACGAACCAAAGCCTCTCTAATGCTGTATGCATGTCCATCAACATTTTCTTCTAACTGCAGTATAAATCTACTGATACAAAGGATGTGAATGCAACAGAACTGGGAAGGTGTCAGGGCATTAGTCTTAGGTCCATTGAACTAAAATCTGTGCAAGAATCAGGAAACAGCAAGAGGGCAAAAAACCAAACCCTCTTATAACAGCTCCTGTGCAGAAAAAAAAAGTAGATGTGAAACTAGAGGCTACCGCAGGAGACATTGCAGCATCAAAAAACGTCATCCCAAACACTAGGAAGACCACTCATATAAAGCCAAGCCTCTTCCAGGCTTTGACTGATAATTATAATTTTGGGAGTATTTTTATTGTGCTTATACATCACTATAAAAAATATTTGCAAATGTCTCTTGTTTATCAGCTTGTGTTCCATCACAGTTTAGAAACAGCATACAAATTTAATAGTTACCATACTTTTTTGGCTAAATTTGGTAAGGAGGCTTCCAAGGAGCATTTTATATTTGAAAATATAAACTGAAGTAGAATAGTCAAGAGTATAGAAGAAAGATGACTGCGACACCTTTGTATTCTAGTTATGCCATATAGTTGTCCTGTACAAGAAGTAGTCAATATAACTCACTAAATTTAAATAAGAAAAAAGTCAATAGAACTGCTACAGTAACAGATGAAGGAATGCACAATGTATTAGTTATCAATGCTTTATTATTGAAAACAAAATTGAAATTCTCTTATCTGGCACATAAACAATTATTTCTACAAAAAGGAAAGCCTACAAATCTGATAATTTATACAAATAACAGGTTTTCAAAAAATAAAATTTTAATTTAGTAAACTTGTCTTGTGCTCTTATTTTTTTTAGCACTGTCTGCAATAATCCATCATAAATCCCTGAGCAGAGAGACATATTTTTAAACGTTTTAAATTTATCCCAAAAGAAAAAGAGTTATCAAGCCTAGACCTATATTAAAAATGTATTCAGGGACATTCTTGTGAAATTTATGCTAGTCCTTTTTTCTTTTTTTTTTCTTTTCTTTTTTCTCTTAAGGTGCCAAAACAAACAGTTATTAATGCAAGCATGACTGCAACGAATGTGTGCTCCCCCTTCCCCCTCTTGTGCAATGAATAAAAATTACTAAACAAGAATGATTACAAGTTGAGGAGACAAATAACATAGTGAATGGTTACGACCAAGAAGCCATCAAAATTTGATGACTGTTGAGCTGCAGATAAAGCTGCAAGATACCACAGTTTTATACTGAGTTCTGTCACAGGTACTATCTGATTTACTTCTATAACTTCCCAGGAAGTCAGAAAAGAGGGAGAATAAGTTCAAGCTAACATTGTATTTTAACGCTGAAGAAATTCAATTTTTGACCCTTCAGTTTTGCTGTTCCAGCCATATTGTAACTTTAGAAAGACTTGACATATTCTACAAAAGCAGCCTCGCTCCCCCGGCCCTCCTGGCAGGCCAGGAGTGAACTTGGCAGCTCCGTGTTTCAGTGAGCATGAAGGAAGAAAAGGGAAACGCACCCTACTATGGTTTTGACTCTACTGGCTTGGAAACAGTTACTTCCGCATGCAATTTGGTACACATCTAAAATCCAAGTACAAGGGGAGAATGACCAAGTAGAGTACATCCAAGTGCCCCCTTTGCCATAAAGTACACATACTAACCACAAAAAAATAATTAAAAAAAAAGGCAGGGAAACCAGATAAAAGAAATAGCAACACTTAGGCTATTGAGTTAATGACAGAAAATGTTGCTGCAGTCAAGTAATAAATAAATAAATACAGCAAAGTATTCTTCTCAACAGTTTTGTTGGAATGGTGATTAATGGTAAGAAAAGCTTTTTCAGTTTCAGTTTTTAAAAGAAGATCCTGAAGAAGCTTCAGTTCAAGGTGCTCTATCCACTTTAATGTTATATCTACCATTATGAAAAGAACACCGAAGCAGATATAAACAGGTCATTAAATGAAATAGCAAATTTCTTAGAAGCAATAATACTTATTCCAAAGAAAAAAGCAGTTAGCAAATGGCCTGGAAAAATCTGACTAAAGCTTCAATACACTGCAATTTTAAATAAATTATTTTTACATTAAAAAAAATTAAAATAGTAACTAGGCCAAATTATTCCAAACAAAAAAATAAACCAAAACTCACCAAAAGCATATTTAGATATTTGACAGCTTTGCTGTGCGTATGCGTGTCAGAATACAAACAGAATTCTAGCATTTGGTTAGAATCTGAATGGATAACTTTTTTTTTTTTTTAAACAATATCACTGGAAAAAGTAACTGGCCATCTTTGATGTTTCTCTTGATCTTTATCTACACTGCGCATGATTCAACAAAATCCAACCCCTTCAGCTACTTGCTAGCCTCAATGTGTCTCACTCCCTTTACTCAAAAGTTGCTGATGAAATCTCATTTGAAGCATATTCAAGCACTAATATTTTCAAATCTCATTTGGCTAAGTTTAAATCCAGTCTTATTGACAGCAAGGTAAAGGATTCAAATGCATCCTTCTGTAACACCAAATTATTATTATTTTCTTAAGATGACAGACTGACCACGCTCATTTTGTACCAGGGCAAACATCAGTGTTGTTTGTATTGATAAGTTAAGACATTAAAAACATCTCCAACTTTTTTTTCTTTTTGCCTACATATCTGTCATTCTCTATAACCCATAGCCATTAGACTGTGTATCCTAAAAAAACTTCATCACACCTTTAAACAAGCTGAAATCATATGTGTACACTCAGTAAACCGATTTTGAATACTGTCATCTAATCACAAGCGACAAGTTTGAAAAAAAAATTGGTCATATAAATTGATGTGAAATTGATAAGCAAGTGGTCCTAAGGTGAGATACAGCAGCATTAAGACAAACTGCAAACACGCTGGATTTAGTATACATTTTAATGAGTTACAGTCTCAGCAAAATACGTTAACCTACTATTACCACTTTTTACTCCCATATTGCTTAGTGTGTACTATACAATATTCCCTTAGCGTTTCTATGACAGTATACATTTCAAGTACCCACACAAAAATGAGCAATATGGGATTTGCAACGGTTTACCAAGTACACCAAAACACCCTCATTTAAGTGCTACAGTTCTACATATTTTTGCGGGGTAACACTTCAGTCCATTACGAACTCCTCAAAAAGTCTCCCTTTTTCTTTTCATCTGGCAAAAAACAAACTATGCCAAAAAAGCAGAACAGCTTCTCCTAGCAGCAATTCAGACCTCCGATCCTTGCAGTCAAGTTCAATGAGCTCTGTGATCAGACAACTTCGTGGAAGTTCTAGCTTGGGATTTGATCAGTTCAAAAAAAAAAAAAAGTTCACAGAGCTCTCAGCATCATGTTTTGGATGTCTTTAAACCTTGTTTCTCCATAATATTCCACAATTTGCGAAGATTGGACTGAGTGATGACATCATCAGGTTTAAGTTGAAGAGCAAGGAGGTAGTTTTCTTCAGCCTCTTTGAGTTTACCATTGAGATGGAGAATGGCTCCAAGATTCATTAAGGCAGCTGGATACTGGTACAAAAACAAACAAATAAAAACCCAAAAAAAAACAAAAACAAAAAAAGAGAGAGAAATATTAAGAATATTTTAAAGTCCTCTTTTTTTTTTGTCAGACAAACTTCTTCCACTTACACAAATTATTCCCTTATGTTTGCAGACATTTCATGGAAACAATTTAGCAATTTAAGCAAATAGAGATAACAGGAAAAAGTTTCTGAACAGCTGCTAACTATGTACTTTGTGCTTTAAACAGGGCAAGCTCTGGTGTCTACAGACATAGACTTCTCTCTTTAATGAGAAAACACAGATCTCGTAAAGCTTTACATGTGGCAATGCCGACACAGTCTAGTTTCCAAGAGAAAATTAAAGTAGTCCAAGAGTGGATTGAAGAGAGGAATTTAATTTTAATTCAACCCATTGCCAATAAAGAGTTTATAATCGGTGGGAATAGTTAACACATTGGAACTCATCTCTTTCTTCTCTTTTTCTTAATTATAACAAGTAGAAAACACAATCTGTCCTCAGTTTCTAAAGATGTTCAAGAGTCCTAGGATACCCTTTTAGATTCAGGCTATGGCAATTATTTCTTAATGAATGGCTGAGCAAAATTAACAATGGTGAAAACGCATGCTCTTTTAATAACAAATATGTCAAGAATTCATAACAAACCCATTAAAAAGCTCTTGCACCACTAAGACTTAGCATTTTTTTTTCCTGCTTTCTTTAGCTGAGACAAAGTGTTTCCCATTTGCATTGTTTTTTATCCTTTAGATTGTTCCACTCTGACCTAATAGGTCACTTATGGTCATTAAACACACCTAGTTGATACAAAGTTAACAGTTATTACAAAGTTATTACAGTTATTACAAAAGCAGCTTTCTGAAGCTGAGAAGAACAGACCTTAACCTATCTTTTGTACATAATATGCTATTAGGGGCTTAGTGATGTCATTTACCAAAGCAGGACCTTGGCTTTCAAAGAAAATGGGATAAAAATCCATCCATACACACACACAGGTTTCAAGATCTCTTAGCAGTGTTCAGATCAAACTGCAACTGTTTGGAAAGCCAGCTATGTTCTAGATGCCCTTCAGTGACAAATTCAAGAACACAGAAGGCAGAGGGCCAGTAAAATAGGCCTGTCCTGCATATTTAACTTTCTTCCTGATTCTACTGAGCTATTCAGACATGCCTCGTAAAAACTGATAAAGACCGTGACGGATTAACTTTTGGATGGTTTTCAACCATCCAACTGGTTTTCAGAGTTGTGGCATTTCACCAAAAAAAAAAGAAGAGTTCTGTCATGACTACTGTAAATACCATAATATTAAGCCAGTGGAATTTGAACATGATATTTTTAGATTTAAGTTTTCATGCTTAACCCTGGCAGATAAAATTCTCCCCTACTTCAGCTACTGGGTCTTAGTAAAACAAACAAATTCACCCCAACAACCCATCGGTCTGACTTTATGTAGTATTTTCAAGTTAAATAATCTCAAGTATTTTGTTTTTATTTTATGTTCTGTTTGAGAAGGAAAACTAAGCTCCTGAAATGTAATCTTTGCTGAGGACAACACATAGCAGCAGCCACATTACCACAACTCCCATTTTGCAGTCAGTCATACAATGAAATAGTACATTCCTTAATTAAAGACTTTCTGGATGCTAATTGAAACACGGCAAGTAACGACTCATAAGGGAACAGCTTCACAGTAAATGGATGACTGGACTGTCTAAATAGTCACATATTTCTTTTATTAATTTATTAATGTATTTTTACACTGAAATATTTGAAAGTTTGGCCTTTCTCCTGCAGTGTAAGAGAATTTTCTATACCTGATCATGAGTAAAATGGTCCATTCCCAATTGCTGTGCTCCATATTGGTCCAATTAGAGGTTATGGATCAAATATGAGCATGAGATCTGTTATAAATATATAACTATTTTCTCACTTGAAATATAATTCTGCATGTATGTGCTAAGTTAGACAAAGCTTACAATAGATATTGGTTAAATAACTTTAAATGTAGAAAAATTCATATTAAGTAACATACACTTCAAAATGTGCTCAGTTCTAATTCTAGGATGTCCACAAACACATTGTCTGGGTAGAAGAAAGAAAAACTCCTCTCTGTTGCCTGCTCTGCCTTCCTGTCCTTTCTCTTCCCAAAAGTATGTACATCGTGTTAACCCAGTATTCTACAGAAACTTGTATATATAAGCCTTATATGCAACTTATATGTAAGCTGAGAGAACCCTTCTTCTGCCATCATCTCTTTAATTTGGCAAATCATTTCAGTAATGCAATCAACAAAAACATCTAGAAGAAAAAAAAAATAACTACATGCTTTTTAAGCATTTCCATTTTCTACATATTATTCCTTACTTCTTAGATATCCAACAATATTTTAGACCACTATGCTCAAGGGAAGTACATCTATGCAGTATGTGAATTGGTAATTCATTTCAAACGGTGCTGAAAGTTCACACCATCTCCTTCATGTTTCAAAGGAGGAAGCACCCAGGATTAGGCTACTGCCTAACTTTGTAGGGGTTCAGTCACCTCACTTGCTTAGGCTTACTGCAAAAGTCACAAGGATTTGGGGGGACTGAACGAGTGTACATCAGTGTCATCATCCCCCGACAGCTATAAACGATGGACTGAGGACACAGAGCAAGCCACAGTTGCTATAGTTTCCCTTCACATATATTGTCTTTTATTAAAGACAGCTGATAAAACTTTTCAGTATGTTAACAAAAGCAGTCGGCAGCTACCAATCCAATAACATAGGACTTGTAGCACTGTATAACAAATGACACCACCTACTACTTCAGAGACTTGAAAGGAGAAACAGGCCTTCCTTCATTTCCTTTTGGAGACAGATGCTTTACATCAAAGCAGCTGACTGGCATTTCTATTAGGGTTATAAATGCTGTCTTTTATGTCTAGTGGGAATTATTCCCTTTATTTGCATTTTTCTTGTGGTGTGCTTGTTTCCTTAGATTTTTTCTTTTTTTTGAGGGGAGGAGAGAGACTGGTAGGGTAGCTAATGAATAACAAAAAACACACATGTCCTTGCCTGAGGTATTTTTGGGTTATACTGATGACAACTCTTTCAAACTTTCTCCATACTACCAAAATAAGAGAAGAGTCCTGGGGTGTACAAAAACTTTAACATGAATTAAACTCTTCACTATAATGAATTAAACTCTTCCCTATAATTATTTGGGAAATCCCAAATAATTCGTCATAATTCTGTGGAGTTTTTCAAGTTTATATCGATGTAACCAAGTAAAACCAAGACCTGAAAACACACTATATATTAATAATAGATATAAACTTATTTCTTGTTCTTCATCTCTGGCTCCATCCACGCCAAGTGTTAGAAAAACAGTCCCAAACAGAAGATAGCTTCCTATTGTAGGCATGACAGCTGTGAAATTCAGATATTTCTCTTAGATAACATAAGACACATAGCTAGTACCATAATGAGTAATCAGTAAAACAGCAGAGTATTAATTGCCAAATAGATCACTCGGTGTGAAAGCTAATCATGGTGGACTGCTTCATCTTCTCAGTGACCACGGCATAATGTGCTGTCAGGCCTTCTTTAACTCCCTACTGTGTGATGGTAAGAATTTTCACTTAAACTTTTATTACCAGAGTCACTACCATAGCACAGCATCCTATTCTCCGAGGCAATCAAAATGTCACCAGATCCTTGTTTATTGCTAAAGATAGCTGTGAACAACAGTATCATTTTAGGGGTTGCACTTACTTCTCACAGAGCGCAGAACATGAGTGAAACCGTGACCTAGTGGCTGCCCTGAGTTGTAAGGATGCCTCTTTAAAGTATAGGTATGGGAGGTATGCATAGATACACATGCAAGGGAGAGAAATATGGAGACAGAGTTCCTACAAACTGATGTGAACAGAGATCACATTCTCCAATGCAATTCCACTGATACTGCCATAGTCAGAAGAAGGAATGACACATGCAAGTAGACCTTTTTATATAACAAAAAACAGTGTTGCCAGATAATGAAGTGCCAGTTACTCCTTGCAAAAAGAGACACATGTTTTCTAGTGCAGCCTTAATGCTAAGAGACTGCGTCATCTCTTAAGAACCGCAGTTTGCATATATCATGACTGGTGTTTCATTCCAAACACTGCATGAATCGTAAGGAAAATGCCAACTACCAGTAAGCTGGCTAAGATGACAACAGAGGGGCAGACAGTAAACTGCCTAGGGACAGAGAGCTTGGCACAAAAGGCATTCTGGAACAAGATTACAAGATGTATGGCAAATTTTATCACTGAGAGGAAATAAAATGGCATAAAATTCACAGTTGTGAGGGACTTTCTGGGCCACTGGCCCAGACAGCAGAGTAGTCAGGTCTGCTGGAAGACGAAACAAAACAAACAGCATCTTTCCAAACCCCGTCTTAAAACGGAAGAACACTCTGCAACTTCTACCCTCTGACAGTTAAGTGCATTTTTTAAATTGAAAGTCTATTCATGCATGGTTTTTGCAAATATGTTTCTGTGTCAACAGCAGCTCTCAGCTTAAACAGCGAAATTGGGCAATGGAGAGAAAAAACATTCTCCTGGCAAGTACTAATTTGAATAAGCATTTCAAGGAGCACAGTTTCCCAAACTATATTAGACACAAATGGACCTAAGCATCTCAAAGGTAAAAGGAACCCATGTACCAGGGTAATTACTTTGAGTCTAACTAACATATACCACTGCAACAAGCGTGAACTCTAGAGAGAAATGGAGCCTTGGATTCAGTCACTAACCTAAGACTGTTACAATAACCAAATAAATATTTACTGTTTTCTAACATTTCTTGCAAATGACTTCATCTACGGTTGTAGTCGTATTTTGGCCAAAGTAACAAATTATTAATGTCCAGAGCATAAGACATTCTTCAGGAAAAACAAAAAAAGAAAAAAAGATCAAAATCAAAACAAACAAAGAAACAACAACAACAAAAAAGAACACAAGAA